GGTATAACATCTTTCATCCCCGAAGAGCAAGGCAGAGGTGCACATTGCGGCACTCAATGCCACTGTACAATGTAACACCCACTTTTCACTGACTTATAATGTTATGAGATCCATGTAATAGGGGGTGAGCCTATTGCCATAAACTGGGCACGATTCCCAACTCCGTGCTATTACTGAGAATGTTTTAAAAACCCAGTAATATTTGATAATAGTAGCTATTATAGGTATATGGGACTCGAACTAACATTATGGACAAAAACAAGTATAGGTACCTATTTGTAACAAATACATCTTGTACCTATGTCACAAAATGATAATCAAAAGCACAATCTATCGAATAATTAGCGGTCAAATGATAGCATAGACATCGTGTGAGGTCTAGAACATAAAACATTACGACACTAAGGTCTGACATATTAATGGCAATAAAATGTGCAGTCACAAGTTCACAGCCCGGTATTATATAATGCCGGGAAGAATTATGCAGATTATATACGCGTTTGTAATATACTATTTTATTGATGATGTCTTTATTTTCAGTTATGTGTGGTCTCTTGCGAAGTATGCTTAATGATAGATGAGATTGCAAGTGTGCTCAATAGTTTTTATTAACTATAGGTACGTAAATGACTTGAAAGTCACTATCACTTTTGTGTACCAGAAGCTTTTCACTGTTGCGCCGAAAGGTAATATTTGTATAAAAGAATGTAAGCGTAGTAGATGTGATAAAGTTTTAATAGAAACATTTTGAAGAAATCTTATAACTAAAGTAGGTACCCAAAGACAAAAATTTATAAAATCAAATACAAACCATTTATACAATAAAATTCTAATTCATAACTGGTCAAAAACCTTTAAACACATACCTAGTCAAGGTACAATAATATAGCAAGACAAAATAAAAAAACACCGAAAAATATTGCCAATATTTTTCTTTCGTAGAAGATCTCGTAGCGTACTACGCGCTACGCGCTACGGGCTACGAGCTACGACTCTACGCCAATACACTTCTCCGTTCTTCTTCTTCGTAAGAGATAATTTAAAACGAGTTTTTTGTTATTAACTCTTATTTATACGAGTGTTAAATATAATAAAGTGATAGAACTAGCTTATGCCTTGCCTATTACAAGATAGAAATTTAAATTACTATGCTACGTACCTAATTATTTCTTTAAATTAATTTAGGTAAATGTTTTCGCCTATTAGTTGTATTGCTTTAGATTTAGAAGCTTTATTTTATCTTTGGAATCGAAATACATAATATCAGCCAGCAGTAGACTTTAAAAAAATCGTTATTACTTTTTTCTCCTATTACTTTCTCCACTTACTTCTTAAAATCACTACTCAAGCAATTCAACATATAGAAAGCATATTTAGAGGGTAGAAGCACATCAATAAAGCAAGTAAAGCGGCCCATACACCGCCAGACAATACATAACGTTTGAACGTAAGCCCGACATAATGAGGAATAACGATACGCGCGTGCATAGCCCGCCTAATGACAAGAAGGAGATGGAGATAGAGAATATCTATGTGTTAGAGAGAGACAGCTATACAGCTGTACTGTCGACTGAAATGTCTGATGTATGCGGTTATGAGTTTGAATGTATTAATAATTTTGTTTACCTTAGAAGTAAATAAATATTGTTGTTTGAAAGTACCTTCTGTCTTAGGTAAAGCCAGCAATGATTTTTAACATATTTGGCCTTGTTGGTATGAAAATAGAAGTCTTTATTCACAAAAAGCTAGAGGCTTTTTGAAGGTTTTTTTTTTGTATTCAAAAGAAAAGTAAACGAGTAGACTAACTATCTAATGCTGCACATGAAAACCCAAAACACCAGATATCTTCGATTCTTCGTGGAAGAGCCATGCTTCGGCACGAATGGGACGGCTCGACCGGAGTAATACCACGGCCTCACAGAAAACTGAAGTGAAGCAACGCTTGCGTTGTGTTTCGTTGTGTGAGTGAGGTTATCGGAGACCCAATTACCCTCCCCAGTCTCCCCAACCCCCAATCATCCACAATCCTCAAATTCCCAATTCCCAAAAGGCCGGTAACGCACTTGTAACGCCTCTAGTGTTCCAGGTGTCCTTGGGTGGCGTTGATTGCTTACCATCAGGCGATCCGTCTGCTCGTTTACCGGCTTATGCCATAAAAAAATCCTAGTATGGGACTACGTTTTTTAAAATGAAAAAAATTGTTTTAGATATTTGGTTTCTGGGCCTCCATGATTATGTATTACTTTAGAATAGCCTATATTTATAGTCTAAGTGAGAAATAGGGTTAATGACGGGGTATGATATCTAAAATTATATATATAGTCCGTCAGTCAGATAATGAAAAAATACATATTAGACACGTATTTTTTTTTTCTTATGTAATACAACAATACTGAGATAGATCGAATCAAAAGTACATACATAGTAACGCAATATATTTCTACAAAGGATCAATTATAAAAATAAATAAAAAATACGTGTCTAATGTTTTCAAATAATCAACCAGACGGACATTAAAATAAAAATTAGTCATGTAGGTACCCTATTCTTGGAGTTTGGAGATTTTGGGACGATGAAGAAGACTGTTAAACTTTTACATAACCTACCTTCGCATATGGAAGTCACTCGCATACTGTCTACCCTGTAAAATGCAATCAAAAATATCTCTACCCTGTCACGGAGAACCTCACGGGTAACCGGGGCTCTGGCTTGAAGCGCAGGAGAAGGAACGGGGTGGTTATTAGTCAGTAAGAGTCTGACACTCCCTCCCGCCTCATCCAGGCGGGAGCAGTCATTCGATGATTTTCCCCCTTAAAAAAAAGATACTACCCTAATTAATCTAAGACATGGTTAGGTTCATAAGTTTTAAATGGTTGGTAAATATGTGTTCCATCGATGAACTATATTTTTAAAGGAAATTGATGTATATCTACATAATGATTAAGCACCGCAGCTAGATGCCTTTATTGCAGTTTTGAACATTCAGAGTATGGAAATAGAGAGGTCTCTCTATTTGAAGAAGTATCTAAGAACAGTAAAAGGAATATCAAGAAACATACTTAATTAGAGAACCAACAGTCTATCTATCCTTAAGTACTAATATTATAAATGGGAAAGTGAGTTTGTTTGTTTGTTCCACTCTCACGCCGTAACTACTAAACCGATTGCTTTGAATTTTTGCAGACGTAAAGTTAGAAGTCCGGATTAAATAATAGAGTACTTTTTATCCCGGAAAAAAATGATATTCTCGAGGGAAAACAAAAGTATTGGTATAGATGGCGCTGTGTGTATTGGTATATGTCACATAGGCTACTTTTCATCCTTTTGTGACGCGAGCGAAGCCGCGGGTAAAAGCTAGTATCTAATAAAAACAAAAAATCTTCAACTGAAAAATTAAACATCTCCAAAAGTTCATCTTAGCGAAGAGGATGAGTCACAAAACCCCCCAATCACGAGAGATTTATCTGAAAAACTTGTAATCTACAGAATCAATACATCCCGATTACACTAACTCGCAAAAATGACAATACGAAGTGAACGGAGCGGGCCGCGACGCCCGCAGCGAATCCTGCAAAACTCTCATTAACCGACTCTCTAATTAAAAAGTAATTAAATTCGCGCGAGAAAAAGAGAGAACGACATTTAACTGATACTAATAAGATCGTCAAACAATTACGAGCAGTACGGACCTCTCGCTCGCACGCGCCGCTCTCTATTTAACTTTTAATTTATACTCATTCCTTTATATCTTTTATTGCTTCGCCCATCGCGGCTCCTAATGCGCCCGAGGTGCTCCTCGCACTAATTAAATTCATGCAAGGCTGAGCCGCCGGCCCCGCCCCGCCCCCGCCCCCCCGCTGCGCTCCGCCAATGGGCGCGCCGCCCGCCGCCGGCGCCGCCCCTCCCTGCACTCAGTACCAGATTCCTGATAGAGCTGTCATGTCGCGTCCGAACGCTCGTTACGCTGTCTTGACATATTTTATTATTATTTATGTCAATTACGTTATTACTTTTTTGTTTAATGGAATAAGGAATTGGTTGTGAAATTGATTGCCTTTCGGTCGCTTATGATTCATCACTGTCAAAAATATAATCTGAAACGTGTTAATTTTGTATGATTGATAGTTTGTCCGTCATTAGAGCGATTGGGAGGCGTCGTAATCTAGTTTTACGCAACGCTATTGTGCGCATCTCTGTGAGGCGCTCGCCGCCGCCGGATGATTGCGCACCCATCACACAATCACCTGTCAAATTAAAAGAATGGCTGAAATCAAAAAATATAACCCGTTATTAGTTATTACCTCCGAACAACTCCTATGAATATATTTATTTTTTTCTACTTCATTACAGATAATAAACACCTTTCATCTCAGCCGGTCGAATAGATCACACATCAATCATAATTTCCAAATGTTTTAGTTTAGCTGAGGAGATATATATATGCAATATTTACGTATGATCGCAGTGTAACGCTGTAACCGAACACATTGACAAAGTTTGGCTCTCACACAAAACTGTAGGTAAGTAAGCAAAGGGCAATGGTAAACGTTCACAACATTCCATAACATAACTCCTGGCCGATACTGTACATGTCACAGTGTGGCGGCGCGCCATGCGGCTGGAAAAGATTATGACAACCCCACGGGCCCGCAAACGTACGGCGACCCTATAAATCCCATGTCGGACCCTCTTCCGTGCGATAACAAACGTTATCGTCATATAAATAAGGTTTATTTCAACTTCCCGCCACCCGTCGCCTACGTTACCGTTAATTCAATGTATGCCGTCCCTTAATTTATGGGCCGTTATTCAATACAGATCTGTAACTTCATGGCATAAGGTTTGAAAGCGTTTAGCAGCGGGCGCGATGTACTGTCGGAGAAATAAATCTATGATATGAAGGAGGCGGAGAATTAATTTGTGCAGTGGTGGGGGGTAGGGGGGTAAGGTGGCCCCGCCCCCGGGCGCGCCATGGCAGTGGCGGGCGCGGCGTGTCGGGCCGAGCACTCGTAGTACCGAGCGAACGCGACGCGCGCGCCATAGTGCGTAGTGTAGTGGCTGCCTGCGTAGTGACTCAAGGAAACATTGTGCTGCGATGAGACTCGAGCATGGCGTCGGGTCGTAGGTGAGCGAGGTGGGCAAGATATCGGGCGCGAGGCGCGGCTCGGGCAGCGGCGGCATGGTGCTGGAGGGCGGGCTGCCGGCGCCGCTGCAGCTGTACGCGGCGGCCGCGGCGCAGCTGGCCCCCCGGCCTCCGTGGCCGCCGTTCCTGCCGTTCTTCGGTGTTCCTCCGCCGTTCCTGGCGCGGCCCAGGTTGCCGCACCCTATGCCGGCTCGGGCCCCACACGGCCCCCCCAGTGAAGACTCCAATGAGGATGGTGCCAGCAGTAAAGGTAGGATATAGTGCATTCCAGACCGTATATAAAAATATCTTTTTTAAGTGCCGCGCGGGACGATGGTTGTGTGATGTGGGAAAACTTTAAAAGAAAATAATTTATTAATACTTATGATTCGAAGAACTTATTTGTAAAAAACGGGAAAACTTAAACGCTCCACTGTAAACTTTGTAGGAATTTATTTTTGTGTGTAATTCTATACTAATGCACATTGAATCTAATAGGAAAACATAATTATCAATTTGAACAATAAAAATGAACAGTTGCTTACCCTTGTCATCTATAAAAAAATGAAGTGGAAAGACAGATAAAAAGTTTATTTAATACTTATAATTAAATGCTCAGAATAAATAACCGAAAGTTTTTGTACGTAACAAAACAAAAAATATACTTATTAGCTGATACGGAAATTCTAAATTAATTATTTTAATATCCTAATGGTAAAAAATTAGGTATCAGTTATTGTCTTGAGGTCATTATCATAAAAACTTAAGAATATCCGGATAGATTAAAATTAATACATTTTTAATGGAGTGTGACATGTAAATTAAGTTATAGGTAGGTACTTATTTTTAACCAACTTCTAAAAAAGGAGGTTATCAATTCGATCGGTATGCATGTATGTAATATTACCAGAACTGCTCAGTTTTCGTATACCTATGTTAGTCTATATCAGCGTCTGAATAAATCTACCAATATTTTTATTTATTGTGCCAAATAATACTTACAATGATTTTCTTTTGATTTTTCTGCTTCATATTTTACAAATAGATATTGATATTTAGTAAAATTCAAATCTATCTTTCATGATAACTGTTTAGTCACAATTTTTTAATTAATACCATTGTATTTTTAGATACCTAAGTTTGTAGTGAGAACCAATAACCGAAAACGCAAGTATTTAATATATGTAATTTATTTTCTTTTTATTTTACTTTTTAGTATATGTAATTGATTTTCACAAAAAAAAATGCAGGTACAATTGCCTAGGTAGGAAGTTCATTAGTTATTGTCAGGGTAAAACTTAACAGTTGTTATTCTTATTTTTATTACGTATTGTTTTTGTTTTTATTGCTTTTTATGTTTATCATAGATAATCATACGATTTGTGATCTTCTGTCGTTAATTTCTTTTCATTGTTATATTTTTTATGATCGAAATAATTCAATCTATTTTTGTTAGTACTAATTAAAGATGCATTACCATTCTTTATTCTGTAAGATCTTTACTACAGTTTCATGGTTGCATTTTTAAGTAAAAAAAGGTGATTGTAAAACTGATTTATCATAAAATTGACCTTAAATTCATACTTTTCCCCAAGCAAATCAAATATCGTTAACATTGTCACCAATGCAGCTGTAGCCAAATGCCATTTAGCGCTTGTCTACTTGTAGAGTAAAAAACCAAATTATATGGAATTGACGTAAATTTTTACACTTGTCAGTGTCATCCCCATACATTTTGATTTCTACTCTCTCTGTAGACGAGCGCTAAAGTGGCGTCTGGATAAAGGCACTGAACCTATGTCATAAAATATATATATAGAGCTGTTAAATTACCTTTACAAGTAATTTGATTAATTTAAAAATCATAAGTAACATACAAAATACAACAACTACATAAAAAAAAATTAACTCATAAACATAACAAAATTGGTTGCGACTGCCGGGTAAGGGGTCTCGGGTACCATTTTCGAGTCGGGCTAAGTATTGCTGGGTTTTTAAAATAATTATCAGTAGTAGCACGGAGTATGGAATTGTACGGAGCACGGTATATGGCAATAGGGTCACCTTCTATTACATGGGGCTTATAACATAAATAGTGAAAAGTGTTACTTATATTGTGCAGTGGCATTAAGTGTCGTAATGTACACCTCTGCCAACCCCTTCGGGGGTAACAGGCGTAATGATATTGATTGACATATCTAGTAATTTTAAATAATATCTTTCTTATTTTTATTGCCCTACTGAGTGGCAATTATTATGTTAAAATTAACACACATATTTACGAACATACTTCCGCATTTACGGTTTTCTTGTAATATTTTTTTTTTGTTGTAACATTTGTTTGAAATTGTTAGCGGCGATGTTTTCCTTTTAATTTTAATAATATCGTTGTCATATTTATTTTACGCTTATTTAATGATTATGACAAGTGGTGTTTGTGACTCTATGAGATATAAAAAGAGGAAAAAGACAATATATAATAATATATTATATTTTTACAGATTAAACTTTTTTCTTATTTTTTTTTAATTCTAATTCTAACGCATTGACAATATTCTTTAATAATAGCTTTAGTTTTTTGTATTGTTTCTTTATAGGTATGGTAATTTTAAAAAGTGTACTTATTTAGAAATAATACCCGTTAGTTTTTTGTTATTAATAATATTAGGTACAGTACCTAAGTATATAATTGTGCTCATGTTATGTATGTATTTGATGTGATGTGTTCATTTGACATACTAATTTATTTTAATAGCTGTTATAAAAATACTAAGGGATGTGAAATTTGAATACCTAAGTGTTTATTTTCCAAAAAATAATAGAAAACAATTAATATTTCCTTTATTAAAATTCAAAATAATCAAATGAAAACTTTGAGTGATAGTAAAATTGTGCAAATTTTATTTTGAGCAATATGGAAATTAAATACTTGGTTTTTTACTGCAAAAAAAAATTACTGATAAAAAATTTCAATGTGAAATAAAATTAATGCGAAACAATTATCGGTTTATTAATGAAATTAATAATAATTTTACTTAACTTAATTTGCAAGTCTAATATGTCGTTATAAGTAGGTTTCACATTTTTTTAAAATAACCAAGTAGGTATTAAACGTTTCCATTTTTTTTTATATTGCGATCCAGCATTCACTGTGAGACGTACCTCTGAGTTCGTTTTGGCATTTCTTCTCAGAGTAGTCAGTTAGGAAATGTCGGCCTCATCGATCGAAGTGCTGCCTTGTAGCCTATTTGCAGAAATAAATTCACTTGTTTCATTTGTTTCACTATTGTTTCGTTTAACTGATTAAATTTTAGTATATAAGACACATTAGAAAACATATTGTGTCTCGCTTAGATCTACGTTCCAGCATACCACGGGTCATTATTTAAGACCCGTTGTACCTATGCTTAATCATTATTTAAAGGATCTTGGGTATCTAGAATTCTAGATTAATTGGATCTGTCTAGGTAGTATTAAACGTATTACGAATACAATTGGCATTGGTGAATTTTTATTTAAACTGTCAAACACCAAGCGGTCACCGGTGACCGCAACCTATTGTTCTATAATTGTGTCTGCAAAACCGGTACTCGACGAGTTAATTCTCTTTTTTTAGTTTACTTTTATTTATAAGTGACCTAATTATTAAAGAAGGGCCAAATTAAAAGTACACCTGAGTAGGCATGCATGTAAAGACTTATGACTGTTGATGAAGCGAAAGACGTATGTAAGAATCGCAGCAATTGGCGTTCCATAGTCTCTGCCTACCTCCGTGGGAGTCACGTATGAGGTTATGATTTAGAATAAATGTATGCTTTAGAATATTATGTTTAATCGTTATAATGGTTGGAGAAATTATGCTTAAAAATTATGCGTAAGCTGTTATGTGTAGTTATATTATGCGAAAATGTAACAATGCAAAACAACATTATGCTAAGTTATATTAGTTCTTTTATAATAACTATCATGAGGGTGAGACATACTAAATTAACTAAAATCGCGCGTTACTCGCGTGAATATATTGAGAAAAGCTCTACTAGTTTCGAACCACAGAGGGGTTCTTCCTCATGAGCAGCGTGCGCGGTCGCGGCGACGTCGCGTAGGTCTTAATGGGTAAGGAACCTAATGTTATATATGTATGTATGTAAGTAATCTAATTATTAATTTTCAAACGTAGCTATTTAGCTTATCATTAATTTGAATATTGACATGACAAAATGTAGTTTTTCACTTTAATAATGTCGATTTTTCTAATGATTTCTATAATCGTCATCTAGTAAGAATGTTGTTTGATTGCGAAATACTTATTGAATGATAATTAATAACAATTAATAAAAGGATATATACATGTTTCTTAGAGATTTCATAGGATTAAAATATAAAGATGGCCGAGTGACTGTCGTCGTGGACAATGTCCAATAAATGTGTTGTATCTTAATCCGATTAACTAGAAAACATGTTATTAAAAGATTCGATATTTTTTATAGAATCATACTTAAATATTACGTATAACGAAAAATAGAATTTCATCACTTAAATTGTATTTAATTAATTAAACATTATCACTATTAATAACATTAAATAAGTGTCAACGATAATAAATTATTTTTAATCGTTGTAACTTTCCATTTCATTCCTACATTTCACATTTAAATAATTATCAACTTATAACCTCGTGGAAATAAATGACATTTGAACAAACCGATACAAAACCGATTGATTTATAACTCAGCAATCGATTGAGACATGACCTGTCAATATCGATTATCATAAGTAAGAATATTACTCGATACTCAAAGATGCAATCAAGACAAGGCCAATCGTTCATCTAAAACATATTGTAATCTTCCCATACAATGTCTAGATTAAATGCGTGTTGACTCAAAAGGTAACTTGACCCCAAGATTAAAAGGAACGAACAAATAATGGCATAAGTAATGATTACGTCGCGTCCGATATACTTATCCTTCTAGGCATAACTTATTGCTTTTATAATATTAAGGCATTATTCCCGAAATATTCTCGAGGCTCGTTTGAATAAATTTAATATTAATAAAAAGTAAACGTTGGCCAAGGTGCTAAGAGGGTAACGGGCGTAATCCAAATGTAAGTTATTAGTTGGTCGCCGCGACTACCCGCTGTGCGGGGCTTCGTATCGATACCGACTGTATCGAGATGTTTATCGATTCTTTTGTCGGCTCTATCGCTGAGGTGTTACTCACGAAATTAGGATCTTAAATGTTTTGTAGATGACGCATACTTCGGTCTCAT